AAACGAAGATAGTGCAGAGTATACTCTTGACACATAAACTATTAAGCCACATTGCGACGAGTGCCCTTGGGCCACAGAGCACATGTGAATTTCAAGGAAGATCAGATATTTTTCCATATTACATTTCCTGCTGGGATTGTCGATAAGGTAATGTTATATTTGCTATAGCAGTCGACTAGATTACTTGTTTTTTGTTAGCAATTCGGGTTTCTATACTACTCTTAAATCAGATATATCAAGTGTCTTCACCCTATTCCGTTTAAGTTGATGAAGGACTGGTATACTTGGCAAGTTTTAACCACCAGTCCATCATCACCTTAAGCGAAACAGAGTGAACACATCTCACATATAGAAGGTAGTATATTGTGGAAGTAGATAGAAGTACGCTTAATCTACAATCGAATCCAGGCTTGTTTTGAAATTCACGCGGTGGTGCACCGAAGAGCTAGCGTATCACCGCATTACTTGGTAGACTCGGCCTTGAATTCCAAGGGAGGTGGCGATGAGACCTTCGGGCCAAATCGAGATTGCAGTCCAGGCTAAGTGAGAAAAGTTTAGGGCGTTAAGGCAAATGACATTAATTTGCATCTTACTGCCCATTCATATCATTGTGGGAAAGACTTCACTATCACCACTTAACATCACCTTAAGCGACCCAGGATGAACAAGTTGTTGTCCTGAAGTTACAGAATACACGGATATTTTTGTCCGTCCTGTTAAGCTTTTATGAACCTATCATGTTACCGGTACAATTGGAGTTATAAAATAAGGATGAATAGGATCTACCGATGAAAACAAGCTCGCGATACATCTATGAAGGTCGCCCAGCTAACCAAGGATTCGACTTTGGCATTAAGAGTTGCTTACTCCAGCTTGACAGTCTTAATTAGACTAATCTATTAATCCATTTTCCAATCAAGTATATAATTACGAGGCAACTTTCACTCATATCCATTCTTGCTGCTTCCGAAAGTTTTGCACCATTCAAATAGTTACTGAATATTCTTGCAAATAATTCTTAATTGTCGGGCTCATTTCCATTTCGAATGAGGGTGTGTGTTGAAGAGGTTCGAAATTGGATCCTACCAGAATAAGACGGTGGATGGAAAATTCTTGCTGACGATGTCTTCGAGGCGATCCTCTTCGATTTCAGTGAAAACAGTGGAGCAGATTACCGCTGTGACTGCATCAGCAAGAATGTTTCAGCTGTCCAATAGGAGTACGCCGTCGTCTTCTGGTTGGGTTGACCTTCGAAATTCTTTATCTCAAACTTTCACTCGAAATGGAAATTAGCTCAACATAATATATAACAAGATATAAGTTGAAAACTAACTTTTCTTTGCAAATAATTGATAAAACAGTGAAATCTTTTCCTCTTTGCAAAGATCTCCTCACCTGGCAAGCCGGAATCGAACACCGTCTCCATGACAATACGTTTGCCCTCAATTATAACTTGATTCTGCAATGGCTTGACGATGCGCGGTGGTCTGGCGGAGAGTGGCCTCTCGCTTGTAGCCCGTTGTGGTGCCATGGTTGAAGGGGCTAGGTCTGGCTGCTCATCCTCGTCCTGTTTGTAGGACGGATATGCCCGAGGGCTGATGTGTCGACGACTGATCTTGGCAGATGGCAACCCACTGAAAGAAATAGGCGGACGTGCAAGGCGGATATGCTGTTCAGAGCGGACTCGTAGCTCGTCATAAAGCCGGCGTAGGTGACCGAGTGAATCGTGCAACCGCGAAACGATTGGTTGAATGCGTTGGCGGGCTCGTGGAGCTGTGAGTATAAGAGTGATGAGGAGAGACGGAAGGTAAAAGTGGAAAATAGAGCCAGAAAAGACTGATAAAATGATAAAAGGGAAAGGTAAAGAAGGCTACAAAAATGGAAAAGGGTTTGATAAATTGCGGAATTTTATCAGAAATGTGTTTAATTTGGCTTGATCGGATGCACACATTTACTAGCTGGAAACCAAGGAGAATTTTTGATGAAAGCAGTTTGTGATATCATATCTTAGGACACCTTAGTGTGATTTAAGAGCTAATCGTTGTGGTTATCCACAATATTATCGTTGGGACTTTTCATCTATTTGTGGAAAAACTCAATCATAATTCCTTAAATTACCTTAAGTGATGTATGCTGACTAAGCTCTTGTTTAAAAGTTGGAAATATTCTCGAAAATTACACAAAATGAAAATAAGTAACGTCGTCGATTGCACTAACAAACACACATACGACTAATCAAGCATCCAATTATGAAAATGTGAATTGGGGATGATAGGCTTGCATCTGTCCAGGCCCTGACATCCGTGGCCGTGTGAGGGAGAGGAGTAGTAGCATGGTCGGAATACTAACAACCCAATGTCTTGTCCTGCTGAGGATGCTGATGGGACTTAGGAGAGGTCGAGTCTGCAGTTGGGTCTTAATGAGACAGCTTTTTGGGAGACAAGACTATGTGAAATTCAATTATCAATTCAATTATGACTCCTTTAGAGTCATGGGTGTACTTTTGTGTAAACAGGTCTTCGGCACGACCTCAATTAATCCGTGCCCATATTTCGTCCCTCCCATCATAGAAGGCATCATTTTCAAAAAAGTCTAATATTCTGAGCACAAGATGGCGGTCGGCTGCAGCCTCAATGACATCTAAGGCATATATGAGATCTATTCATCCTGATTCGTTTAGGACGACAAGGAAACTGGTAGTTGCTTCATCGACAATCCCACCACAGAATGTGATATGGGAAAAATGCCAGGCTTTCCTCGCAACTCATATCTGCACTGTGACCCAAGGGAATTCGTGGCATTGTGGCATAGTGGTTACCGTGTCGAGATCATATGCTGCAGTTTCATAGTTCGAGTCCCGTTGTGGGTGTTGATAAGAACTAGGCGAGGTCGATACTGCCTTTCACTTTGGATGAGAATATCTTTTTGGAAGCAAAGATATGCTAAATTAAGTGGAAACGCCAGCTCCACTGAGATAATTGCGGGAAAATTCAACTAAACGAATAAATCTCATATAGATGATCTACTGGTAGTTTCGAAGGCTACTTACAAACGAAAAATCTAAGATAATCTGGCGAAATTAATTAAGTGTGCATTAATTTGCTTGGCTTCCCATTTACAGGTGACTGGAGCAGATGAATAAAATTAGCTGTGATCTGACCTCGTCTTCTCAACTTGGTCTTGTTGTCAGGGTGACTTATATCCACTTTGTCCGAAGTTCTCTGCCATAGTAGTAATCATATTTTCAAGCGCCGGACCATGAACTTGGCACACTCTCAGACGTTTCGATGGCATCCTCATTGAGTTTGCCATTCTCGATCTACAACTGGTCAGGGAGTCAAGTAAGGTCAATCCCTTGAGAAAACTTTCTTCCGAAACATAAAAGTTTGTTGACCTCGTTGTCGCAACTTGGTCCTGTGGTCAGGGGGACTATGTAGAACGCACGTAGTCCGAT